GTATTTTCAACATGGAGAATGTTTATATAAAAATAACAGACTTGCTTCGGAATTCTGGATTGTTTCTATTTGTATTTACCAGAAGCAAAAACAGAAAATTAATAAATCGGGTGCCAAATTTATGCCCAAATGACGTCTAGATCTTAATTTTTGAAATTGTCAAGTTTTCAACAATTGTCACCAGTTGAGAAGTTTACTATTCTTATAAAATAATAGTAGAATATACCACGAGTCAATAATGATAGCTATTATTCCCGAGGAATATTTACGAACTGAGCCGCGTTAGCGGCGAGGGAGTAACATTCCGAGGGAATAATAGCCATTATTGCGAGTAGTATACTCTACTTTATTTACGACAAATTAGTTTATTTGAAATATCCTTCCCAAAAACGCTATTTGTTCATCCATCTCAATACAAATACACAAGCACTACGCGTTTGACACTGACACTTTTGAGTTTGGCCAGGTATATTGTCTCCATAGTAGTACTACTTATTTAATTTGAGAAATTTTGTGATTGGTGTGCAAACGGGAATAATGACCATTAATCCCTGCGGGAATAATATACACGGAAAAAATCTCCACTGTATCAAAGAATAGTAGCGTTTGTTTAAGAATATGTTAGTTTTCCCATTCCTCAAGTAAAATAATATTTGTTTTTAGTAATGGTCTATTCTTAACAGCTAATCACACATTTCACTTCCATTAAAAATAATCTAATCTTGAAATTGAGGAAATAGTTGAGATTCACATAAGAATAAGCTTGATTTCATTCACAAGCATACGTTATTCATACTTTGAACATAAACTTACCTCATGACAAGAACTCGTATTCTTGGAATAAGACGATAATTAAGTAGAGAATTTCATACATCTGTCAAAACTGGTATTCCAACAATAAATTGACACGTTTTGATTGTTGATTTGAACCAATCAGATTGTAATTACGCGATAATTTGCACTAGTGCAAATTATCAGATAATTGCATACTAACTGGTGCGAAAACTGGTGTTTTGACATTTTTTGACAAAAAATTTAAATTTTTATTTACGACTAATGTATTATGTGCGTATTATATTTGTGATTTTGGCAGTATAATGGCATATGTTATTCCTCCAGGGATTAATGACGAGTAGCGGGATTAATGGTCATTATTCCACAAAAGTGTCAGTGTCAAACGTGTAGTGCTTGTGGATTTGTATTGAAAATTATGGGACGGATGAAATTTGTTCATTGAAAATCTCAAATAATTGAATTTATCGTAAATACAAGTAGAGTATACTACTCGCAATAATGGCTATTATTCCCTCGGAATGTTACTCCTTCGCCGCTAACGCGGCTCAGTTCGTAATAATCCTCGGGAATAATAGCTATCATTATTGACTCGTGGTATAATCTACTATTGATTTATGAAATTCTCTGATTAAATACAACTCGTGGAATGGAAATATATTTATAATTTTCGACAAATTTGCACTCATGCGTTGGTCGCAAAATGAGGTGTCCCTGTAGCCAAACGGCATCTTGCGACCAATAGGCGGCATTTTTTATGTTTCAAAGTTGACAATGTCAAAATCTATCTTGGGAAAAATACACCATAGGTCCTCAATGTACGAAATTTTATTTTCACCTACCTGTTTGACTGACCAAACTGGGGTACCAAACTGAGGCGAAATCGCCTCTAGTAGGTAATATCACAGAAGGAATTTGGTTGGATTTATGTCGAATAAAACAAACGTAGAAGATCACATTTCTTTATTAGATGATGTGTGTTAGATGATAGATCATTTCCACTATACCTACTATACAAAAGAGATTAGGTACATACATCAGAAATATCAGATTAAACTATTTACATATTTTTTCCATTTAAAGAATAATATTAAGAACATAAGTACTATACCAACTATACTTAGAGGGCGGTAATGACATATGAAATCTGTCAGTTCTGTGGTCTGATTGATTGATTTTTTTAAATTCGTTTTGGAAGAAAAAAACTCACATCAGAATTGGCTCATCTTTGGCATAAACATTGATAGATTATCTACAATTTGAATATTTTAGTTTTTCGATATTTTGCGAGTTCTTAGAAATAATTCATAACAACCCAAACCCTGAAAAAATGACAACCAAAAATATACATTTTTTATCAGCTACGTATCAGCAAACTAACCAAGCAAAAACTACGCGGTAGGGGCTGGGACACATTCTCACTCTCTTTTTTTCCTTTTGAGGTGTTGTTTAATAAAATGTCTATGATTAAATTAAATCTTACCTTCAAATATTGAAATTGGGCATTCCAAATTCCAGTCTCTTAGAAGCGAATCCATATTTTACTCGGAAAACCAAAAACTCACAAAAATTGAAAAATCTCTCCAGGACAACGCGATAACACCGGCGAATGGCGATAACGAATAGAGCAGCTTGCAAAGCAACTCCTGCAAGTTGCAAATCATCAATCGTGTCGACTTGTCCACACAAGTGCATACTTCTTAATCCAAGAATAGTTAAACTTTATGTGAGTTAATAATACCATTCTATACTTTAGACAAATGTAATTATTCTTGAGTGAATAAAGTTATTCTTATGGTAACGTTATATGAAATTAATTTAAAAATACAAACATTTGTTTGAAGTATATTGAATTTGATGCAGATATAGTTTTGTGTCATTGTAAAAATTAGTTTTCTTCATTTAAAATTTTTAAAAGTTATTTCATTCAATAATTTTATGGTATTCTGTCAAGAAAATGGTTCCTTTTATTTAAGTATAGTCGTTTTATTAATACAAGTTTTATTTTGTATTTCGTTTAAATGAAGAATTCTTATAATAAATAATAAAATACTTGAAAATTAATAATAACTATATATTTCAATTAAGTATGAAATATGGCTGTTACAACTAATTTGGTGTTGCGTCAAATAAAATTTTATAAGTATATGACTATGTTTCAATTTAGTAGAGCATTTTTTTCCGTGTATGGCATTATGCCAAAATCACAAATATAATACTTACATTATATGTCAGTCGTGAATAAATATATTTTTCGTTTATTAATACAAGTAGAAAAAATAGTGTATGCACCTCTCATGTAATGGCCATTAATACACTCGCATGTGATATACGAAACGAGCCGTAGGCGAGTTTCGTATCCTAGAACATGCTCGTGTATTAAGGCCGCAACAAAGATGAGAATGCAGTGCTCTGATTGGTAGATTTTTCGAAACTTGTTTTAAGGTGTTTTAAAAAACGGCACATCAAAATTGGCTCAAATTTGGCATAAACATTATTTGATCGATTATCTACAATTCCTTATTTTGGTTTTTCTATATTCAGCCTTTTTTTTTTAAATTCCAAAATCATGTTCGCAACCACCAAAACAACTAAATGTGTTGGTGGTTGCATATGTGTATGTTTATCAAGCTTAGATCCGTGAAAAGCATATTTTATTGATAACCACGAAAAACTAAAAAAAGCTAATTGTAGAGATTATAGATAATATATCAAATAATGTTTATGCCAAAGGATTTAGGAAATTATTGCGGATTTTTTGAGATGACCTTAAAACGAATTTTGAAGGTGAAAACAGTTCAAGCAATTTCAAGTAGATGGCGCCACGGCAAAAAAAGCTACATTGGGAACATCATAAAGAGTGTTTTTTTTTAAAGATAAAAAATTAGTAACTATGTTGGCAACACAAGCATTTTTTACATAAAAATTTGAAAGCATTGACAATTTTACATTGTATTGCCAACATAATGTTATTTTGACTTTTATCTTAAAAAAAAAAAACAGGCTTTAATTGTATATTTGTCTTTTTTTTCACTAATGCCCGATTGCACCATCTCTCTTAACCGAGGCTTAGAAATAACTATTCCTTAAAGTGACATTTTCCCATGCAAAACTGTCAATTTAAGGGATAGTTATCGTTAAGCCTCAGTTAAGAGAGATGGTGCAATCGGGCATAAGTGTTTCACCGACAAACAGATTTTATTTTGAACGAAAAATAAAATATTGAACCCTATGTGTAGAGTGGCACAGTCGTCATTTTCAAAAACTAAATTTAAACATGGTAGCTTTTTTGCCGTGGCGCCATCTACTTGAAATTGCTTGAATTGTTTTCACCTTCAAAATTCGTTTTAAGGTCATCTCAAAAAATCCGAAATAATTTCTAAAATCCTTTGGCATAAACATTATTTGATATATTATCTACAATCTCTACAATTAGCTTTTTTTAGTTTTTCGTGGTTATCAAAAAAATATGCTTTTCACGGATACAAGCTTGATAAATATACAAATATGCAACCACCAACACATTTAATTATTTTGGTGGTTGCGAACATGATTTTTGATTTAAAAAAAAAAAATTTGAGCCAATTCTGATGTGCCGTTTTTTTAAAGACCTTAAAACAAGTTTGGAAAAATCAACCAATCACAGTGTAAACATGGCGGCCATTAACGCGGCCTTAATGGCTATCATTACATGATCATTGCATAATATACTATTTTAGAAGGAATGCGATACGTCATAGGATTTGGGACATCAGAAGTTAGAAAAATCTGAAATAGAAAATCAAGGGCCGTATTTAAAAAAAATGGAGTTGATGATGATGGCCCAAAGACGAAACGTCAGATTTTAAAGTTGGAAATGTCATCTTGTAGAGTAGAAAAAGTTGTTACGATGAAGTGACATTTATTTTGAAATATCTCCTCAAATAAGCTCAGAAAAAAATAAAATCGATTTTGCAAAATGTCGATTTTTTCCGGATATATCATATATCCGAGAGGGTTCGGAATTTTTCAAATGTCAAAGTACCAGTCTATTGAGTGGTTGATAGCGCTACCCAACATTGTAACTCCAACCGTTCTCCAGATCCTAATGCTATCCCATCCTTATCTTGGACAGTATAAGTACGCACTAAACTGTAGATAGTTCGATATCTATTTGATTTGCGAGATAGGAATTTTTTGAAGCCCACGTTCTTATAGTTTGAACTTACCCTAGGAGCAGGTTGTCCAAGAAAATGAACAACAAATTCGCATTTTTCGTTTTCCAAAGCAACAGTATCGGCGACTTCTTGAGTAAATTTTGGTGCTGTAACAGCTGAACGATGCAACGTCACAGTTATGGGTTCCGATACCTCGGAAGGATCAGAATACCCTACTGCGTTTTCGGCGCTAATTCTGAACTGATACCGCCACCTAAAAATATCAGTAAACTATTAAAACTATACCTAGGTACCCATTTATCCTACTAAGCAGAAAACCTTTTTTTATTATGAATGTATTTATTGTCCGCTGCCTTTTAATTTCAATTGTCGTTGCTAGGTCTCTTTGAATCATGATAAGTATGTCTATGTCAAAGGAGCATCCTATGCACTCTAAATGGTGAATGCCATTGAATTTTGAGGGTCTATAATACCCTAGTAGAATAATTACCCTGGTTCTAAGCCGCTGAGTGTTATTTCAGGAAACAGTACCGGTAGCGGTGTAGCTCGTACCCAATGTGGAGAACCCACTCTGCGGTGTTCCACAAGATACCCGGAAACAGGAGAACCTCCATCATTGATTGGCCGAGACCAACGGAGAGTTACCAAGTCGGGGGTTCCTTCAGTTTCGGGAAGGAGTTCGGGTTTGCCAGGAGGTGCAGGTCGATCTATAGAAAAATATTTGAACACCTACATGAAGATTTTTGATTAGGTATATTATGAAAGTTAGCAGATATGTAGTTGAATGTTGTTGGGGTACAAATAAACTAATTTAGAAATTAATATCACAAGCAGGGAAAACATAATTATTACTATTATTAGATAATATTAATTTAAAATGAATGACATTCCAAGAAGAATACTTAGATTTTGTTCAACATTCACTAGGAAGAAAAAAAAATAGCAACAATAAAGGGAAATTATTTTTACCTATATCAAAACTTGCTACTCCTTTACCAAAACATGCTCCTAAAGGAAAAAAATAAAATGTTTTTTGTTATTTCAGCTTTGATTGCCATCCACAATGGTATCAAAGTAGTATTTTGGATTAGAATTCAAAAATGCCTTGTATAAAAATGTACAGCTTCAATTTTTGGCTAAGCAAGAAAAAAATAGATGATGTTTTATAATAACAATGTATAGAAACAAAATTCTTAAATTAAAACCTCAAAATACTAATATAAACGTAACGCTAACACATATCTAAAAATACACACACTTAGATTTTCCCGAGGATTTTCCGGACCTGACATCATTATTTGCCTTTTAACATTTATAAAAATAACTTTTTTAAGCTTTCAAGCTCTCCTTAACGTTTAAAGGTAACTTTTCAAAGATATTTGGACTTACCTGCAGCTTTCCAATGTACCTGTTTTTTATTTCTCACTCGCGGATATGGTTTTACGTTCGCGTTACCCATGTCGCACCATCGCAGCGGCCGATGACAGGAAAAAACCTAACCAACAGTTTTGGTGCAGTTTCCGAAGGATATTTTTAGAGATGAATAGATTTACAAATAATCGTGGCGGGAGATATAAACGAATAATGATTATGTACTGGTAAATTCACATTCATTTAAAATTTGATTAGCAAAGTTACGCATTTATATGTACATAGAGCTGTTAGGTAAATCAGTAACATTTTTCAAGAATTGGGCTTACGCTTGCCAGGACACCCTGGATACAGATAGACTTTGGAGGGCCCGAGGAGGGCTCTGATAGGCCTAAAGTCCGTTCATAAAGTCTATGGACTTTTTCGAGTGCGTGATCTGAGATTTTGGACACTGATTGGCCAAAATTAGGGGGTGAACTTGGGCAACCAGCACTCAATTTGAACGATTAACCCAAGGCCCCAAAATCTAGCCAATCAGCGTCCAAAATCTCAGATCACGCACGCGAAAAAGTCTATAGACTTTATGAACGTACCCACTACCTACTTTTCACGTATTTGGTTCAATATTTTCTACGGAGGCACCAATAAATAATCTTAAGGAAAGGTCGTTTTTCGAAACTTCCTCATTCAATCATAATTTTAAATTTCCGTCACCATAGCTTCTCTAGAACCCTGATTTAAAAAAGCTAATTTGAAATTAAATGTATTTTTTTTTACTTGAACAGAACTTGTTTAATGTTGATGACTTTTGATAGGAAGATATACCTTAAATACCTTCCTCCTAAGATTTATAGGGATTATCGTATTTCTCAGAACTTTTCTTGGCTTTCCAGTCGCCGCCCACGTCAATTGGATTCACCTTCCATTCAAAACCCGACATTTTTAGAGGACATGTTTTTGTTGTTTTCAAGTTCATAGGAAGTCCTAATTGGTCTGATCTCACTTTCAATTCTTCTCTGCTAGTAGGATGGTTTATTTTGTTCTCATTAAGTCTCAACTCATCGTTCTTTTCCTTTTTGGGATAGCTACAGTGACTATCTGTTTATTCCGTTGTTTGTGTTGCAGGGGAGAGCTATTCGGTGTTTGAGATAAGAGGTAGAGATTCTTGTAGGCCATTTTTTAATAGGATTAGGTATAATAACTCTTTCATGTCTGCTTATTGCGGAGAGTATATGCCTGGTCTTTGAGTATAAAGTATAAAGATATCTGTTACGGAAGGTTAGTGTGATACTTGGGTAGACTCACAGCATCCCTATGCCGATTCCGAGATCGGGCGGATAGAAAAGTCATTTATTTTTAATGCCCAGGGAATTTTCATTCATCTTCCAGTTGGTATGAAAAGTATTGAAAATTTTCCGAAATTTTGAAGGGAGACAAGAGAACGCTTGTTATGCAGTTACTGAGTATTTTGATGATCGGTATTGACATAATTGGTTGGGTTAGTATTGTCATATTGCATCTAGATACTCCCCGGCGCAGACTATGCCGCCATAGATTTTGACCTCTGGGGAATTTGGGTGCCTGACCTTGACGTGGTGATGTTGCTTAAAGTCGCTACAGATAACCAACGAGGGGTACACCCAAGTCAAGGTGGGAGGCATTTTGACAATGGCTGCATGACATTGGGGAAGCATAATGTCACGGATGATCCCTTTGGGGCACTAATTACTCCTTACTCCTATACGCGGAGCTCTATAGGAGTGGATCACTCATTTCCCTAGCTACTCGTGGGAAACTTATGGGTAGGAATAAAAATAAAATCAGGCAGGAATACACTGCTGAAATTTCACGGGTTAGCACCGCTAGTAGAAAAAGGGAAGACGCCTCAGTCAAAGTCGAGGTCAAAGTGGAAAGGGAAGGCGGCAGTACTTCGGGTAAACCTTGAATTCCGGCCGAAGGCCACCCTGCGCTTGGAGAACCAGGAGGCCTGGTCGACCCGCGAAGGAGGGGCCTAAGTGGGGCAGAAGTACCTCGAGTACCTGGCACAGGGCATCGCACCTAAGGCAGCCAGGGAAAGGACAGACAAAGAGAAAAAATAAAAAATGAAGCAACAAATGCTGACTCCTGCATCTTCATCTCCGTCCAAAGTGGAGTTCCGCAAAAGAAAGCAAGGGGGGAGGTGAGACCTCATCACACCTCCTCAGGGACCAAGCAACAAGAGGAGAAAAGTGTACTAATCCAAACCCACCGCAAATGCAGCAGAGACTAGCACCAGCTACGCGACTGTAGTAAAAAGCGTCCGAATGGGAATTGTACCAGCGGAATACCCCGAAGTCAAGCTAACCACGGCACGGAACAGTTGTACCTAGAGAGTGCTCTGGTAGACGAAATGTTCACCAGTACAGTGATGAACCTGAAGCGCGCAGAAATCTATTCCAGGTCAGGACTGATGATGGTAGACTGCGAAAATGGACAGACAGGTGAATGGTTGAAGGTAACGGTACCCTGGCTGAAAGAAAGAAAAGGGCCGAAGTTATAACTGTGTGCACGGGAGAAAACATCCCAAAATACACATCATAACCGTCTTTCTTCCCAGGAGCAAAGGCAAGAAACTGAGAAACTCCTCAAGCTTCTAAAGTCCCAGAACGCCGGACTCAAGATAGAGGCGTGGAACGTGATTACCTCAAAGGAGCAATCACATGGACAGCTGCTCACCTTGGGTATAGACACCAAGTAGGGCGAAGTAATCGTGGTGCAGAACCACTCCGTGCACTACATATTTGGGCACCTCACGGTACATGGCTTAAAAAAAGGCGAGAAAAGAACTAAGCCAGAAGAAAAGATGGAAATAGATCCACCAGCTTCCCAGGAAGAGTCAACCTCAACCTTCAGCATCACTAGTTCCTCTGAAAGGAACGAGGCACTTAAACCGGAGAAGTGAGTCCAATTCAGGTAACACCAGGGCTGAGGGCTCAGAGAACGAACTTTTCACAGAGGAAAAGAACGAGTTACTGAAGGACGAGACAAACATCGCCAAAGGCGAGGGCAACGCCACCTTGCTTCAGTTCTAGGTAACTAATGGACAAGACAGCCACCAGAGTAGCCCTGGTCAACCTTCATCATGCCAGAGGATCCTCTGCTGCGATTGCGAGTTTGGTTGGGCAAGGTGTGGCCTATCATTTCAGTGGCCGAGCCTGCTTTGGCTAAGTCATCAGCCTTTTCATTTCCTGGGTGGCCCTCCTGGCTTGGTACCCAGGCTATGGTAAGTTTGTTGGACAGGCCCACCTCCTCTAGCGCACGTACACAGTCCCCAACCAGCTTGGAGCTGATCTTTCGGGAGCTGATTGCCTTTAGAGCCGCCTTGCTGTCCGAGTAAATAACGATGTTTTTACTCCCAACTTTCCTTCAATTTATCAGTAGGTATGGCACAGTGCAATCGCTGCAATAATGCAGCGATTGCCGCCTGAAACACCGTGGCGTACTGTCCGAGACTTGTGGATATTTCCACCCTAGGTTTGTCCCCGTAGATGCCGGCTCCGGCTCCGACCCTCTTTCTGGTCTTGTACCAGATGTGGTCTGCTTTAATTGGCGGACCTTTCTCCCAGTTTTTCCTCTCTGGTATGGCAACCCGGAAGTGCCTATTGAAGATGAAAATAGGTTTTGTTTTGTCTGAGGGCATCTCGAACAATGGGTTGACTTCCGGATCCTCCTCTATTTTCCAGCTCATGGGCCTTTGGTGTTTTATAATTGGACCCTGGCCTTGCTTCAGTCTGAAAAGTACCGCCTTTACTTTACCCGGTATGTAGATATGTAGTGGTGGCAGGTTTAGCAGCACCTCCAAGGCTGCAGCTGGGGCTGTTTCCATGGCACCCTTGATGCATACGCAGGCTAGCCTTTGCACACTTTCAAGCTGTCCGATTGCTACGCTCTGTGTGACCTTTGTACCCCAGGCAACCGAACCGTAGGTTATGATTGGTCTTATCACCATTTTGTATAACCATAAATTCATTCTTGGATTAAGTCCTCAGCTTTTTCCACAAAGCCTTAATTCTGTATCTCCCCAGGGAAATTTTGGCCTTCTAGACAACTTTATTGAGGTGTGGACCGCGGGTCATCTTTTGGTCAAAAATAACTCTTAGATATTTGATCTCTTTTGAGAAGGGGATTTCCGCTCCATTGAGCCTAGGACATCGAAGTCCTCTTAGTACTCTTTTCTTTGTGAATGGGACAATTACGGCTTTTTGTGGATTAACCAACAAGCCTTCATCTCTACACCAGTTATCTACTATGTTCAGTGCTTTCTGAGTTCTTTCTGAGACATGTTCTAGATGCCTACCTCTGACTACCAGGACTATATCATCCGCGTAGCGTAGGTATATAGGTGGCAGGTAAAAGGACTGACCACCAAAAACTCAAAGGTAATATGAGACAATAGGCATGATACGCCCAGAGCCTGCATAATTAAGATACATATTGTTATGTATGTTGTTTAGGAAGTATGAGGCATCAAACAAACATAGAAGGTTCATAACTTTAATAACAGATTATAAAATACATCTTAACACAAGGGGCTATGATTGACAACTTACAATTTTATGACGACCCAACTGACACCACAGGTATTACTTGTCAGTTAACAAAGCTGTGTATAAAGGTTGGTTTCCACCTACAATAATTACAAAACTCACACGTATATCACACGCCCCTTATTATAAAAATGATATAAATAAATGAAAAATAAAAAATTAAATTAAGTCTAACTTAACAAAATCTACATACAAATAAATAAACAGAACTACCATTAAAAATAGCATCTCTATATATCTAGCCTATGTGGAGGTTTAATCAAACGACCACTTTTGGTTGTAACAAATAAAGAATTATCCGGAATTACCGTTTCAGACCTTATGGTTCCTTCGCTATCTTCAAGTGTAGTTTCATTATAAACTGAATTACGTTGACTGACATTTTCTCCATCCTCCCTTTCAGGAGATTCTGATAGAGACATAAAAGAAGAATGAATGTGTCTAGGAGGAGAGGTTATTTGTCTAGTATTATGATCCACTACACAAGGTCTCAGACTGTGGCGATTTCGTCGATAATCAGTATTATTTATTCGAACAATGTAATCATTATTAGGCGAACTTTTTACAACAACACCAGGTTTCCATT